GAAACTGAGGAAGGATGGAGCATTCCATTTCTGCAGAGGAGCTCCCGTCTTCGCCTTCAGCTTGGATAGCTCTCCTGGCTCTAGCGCAGACTCTTCAGCTTCCACCTTGGACCCTTCAGCCTTCCAGTGCAAGCTCATCAGTCTTCTGTCGCAGACCCACCGGCCTCCTGATACGGACTTGCACGGAACACTGCAGTGAGCTCCAGACCTTGGACTGAATCCTTCAGTCTCTGGTGTGCAGACACCCTCTGCACGCTTCCTCATCCCACTCTGTGGCTGACCCCCCTAAGCCAGTCTCATAATTTCTTATGCATTTTTTTTTTCAGAACCGGGGATTGAACTCAGACCCTTGCGCTTGCCAGGGAAGCACTTATTCCACTGAGCCATCTCCCCTGCCCCTTCTTATGCATTTGTACTTCTTGTGCTATGACTGTTCCTCTAGTAAAACCCCGACTGATACGCTCATTTTTTGGTCCTACAAACCACACACTATCATTTTCTATTACAACAGATGCCTCTAATCTGATGTTTTCCATCTGACTCAGCAGTGCTGTTTCTGCCGACTCTAATCTCATTTCACTTGTCCTCCCTCTGTTTAGTATATGTGTATACACAGGGTGATCAATAACAGGGTAAATGTCTAAATTTAAAATACATATTACAGTAAGATAAAAATAAAAATAAATAAATACAGACAGACAGACCTGGATTTGGATTTGTTTTATGCAGTCCCAAGGAACCAAACCAGAGCTATGCTATGAAATGCATGGAAGACACCTACTGATCCAATGTTAGGAACTTTCTGAGCCCCAGGGATGGTCAAAGATGATCGGGCTGCCTTAAAAAGTGCTGAGGACTCTGACTCTCACGTATGCCAGCTCAGGCTCGGCGGCCACCTGGCTAGTGCTTACACGGGAGATGCGATCGGCAGGAGCTTCGAGGTGGCTTCTAACCTGACAGCCTATGCTCTGGGTCTCGTCGCCTTATGCCCAGCGACAGTGCTCACTCACTAGCTCTCTGGGGTTTCTTCCAGGGCCCAGCCCTTCTGCTCCACGCTCCCTCCAGTCCCTGCACCCTCCTTTCTGGGATACTTCTAAGAAAGACTTCCAAAACTTTAATCATATTCATGTTCCAATCTCAAGTTATCATAGGCCCTGGGACCGTGTATACCTCTGGCCAGCAGGACTTGGGTGAGAACGCAGAGAGAGACAGATTGCATCCCTAAGGGACAAGGACATGGGAGACTGCACCGTGAGGGCCTGTCCAGATAGGAAGGGAGGACCTGTGGGAGCGAACGCAGAGGGAAGGTTTAAGCTACTTAGAGCTTCAAACCAAGAATCACTCTATGATGCTAGAAATGAGGACTCTCCATGTAACCCTGTCCTGAGCTCCCAGAATATGTTCCAGAGTGTAGATGGAAGGTGGGGTCACCTTTGGGAGCTGTCTTGCACAAAAAGGGACTTCCGGTCTTCAGCAGGCAACCCCCTTTTCCACAGCATTCCCCCAGGCTCCCGTGCTGCAGGAGTACCAGTTAGGAGTGGCAAGAGTGGGAAAGAGCAGGGAACTCTCCATCCCCGAGCCTCCGTGGCACTTGCACCCACACTTCTCGTCTGAGGCACCAGCGTCTCCCCTCTATAGTCACATACATAGCTGCCACCTTTCCTCACCCCCAGAGCCCCGTCTAGCTTTGAACTCTAGAAGCCCCTTTTATCCAAGCCAAAACAAAGCATTTTTACTGAGACAAATTAATGGCCACCTGTGACCCAAGTCATAGATGGAGTGCTGAGGTTTTTCAGGGACACTGGAGGACCTCCCAGTACCCCACTGAGTCAGGGACTTCCTGGCTCGGCCACCAAGACAGGCTGCTGAGTCACACCCACCTGGAGCTGCTTCTGCAGCAGGCGCAAAGGCTCCAAGACCGCCCCCAAGCCACAGCAGAGCGTTGTGTGGGCAGCAGCACCTGTGGGCACGTAGGGCACGGAGCCCAGGCAGGAGCTGAGCACACAGTCCTGAAGGGCCTGCAGATCTGACTCAGTGTTCATGGCGAATTCAGCCACTGGATTTTTGTAGCCCAGTCTGACACTGCAGGAACCTACAGGGTCCCAGGAGCACAAGATGAGAGACTAGGCAGCCCTCGCAAGCTAGTACGTGCCTTTGCACATAAAATAATATAAAAGTAAGATGTAAAGCACTTAGATATTCATGGAATAAAGTCTGAAATGTATTGGACAAAGCCAGGCACAGTGGTGAGTGCCTGTAATTCCAGCTACTTGAGAAGATGAAGAACACCAAGTTGGAGCCAGCCGGAGCAACTCAGTGAGACCCTATCTCGAATAAAAAAGGGTGGGGATGTAGCTCAGTGGCAGTGCTCAAAGGACTCCTCTGCTCAATCCATAGCACCACACAGGCGTGTATACACACACACACACACACACACACACACACACAAATAGCTTGGGTGCTTTGGGGGAGGCTATTTTTTTTTTTTTTTTTTTTTTTTTCCGGAACCGGGGATTGAACTCAGGCCCTTGCACTTGCCAGGGAAGCGTTTATTCTACTGAGCCATCTCCCCAGCCCCAAGGGAGGGTCCGTTTTAAAAATCCATCTTTATAACACCAAAGCCAATGCCCTGGCAGCACTTCCTGTGTGTCTCCATACTTCCCTAACTCTACTCCTTTGCAGCCTCCTAGATGCCCCAAGGCTGATTGGTAGGGAAGAGTGCAGACACCTCTGGACATGAGGGGAAAGGGAGAAAGCCTCCTCAGTCAGAGCACCCCACTACCCTTTCTCATGCGGCAAGACCACAGCTGATTGTCCCTGATTCCTAAACCTGGGGCACACTGGCAGCACTCAGTGTCACACCCATGCCTTCCTCTTTCTTCCTCCCAAAGCCCTGCTATCATTCTGCATGGGGCTCATTTGAGCCAGGGGTTTTTTTCTGCCATCCTTGAGTAAGAAGGGTTGAAGGTATAGATGCCCACAGGTAGGACATAGCTGGCCTAAGTGGATTCAACTGCTCTTGAGAGTGCCCCACTGCTAGGACCTGGGACCCCCTGTTGAATCAAGCCAGTCCTCAAGGTCACAGCGACCTGAACAGGCTTCTCAGGAGTCCTCAAAGAAGAAATTGCATCCCTCTTCTACATCATGGGCCAATTCTAGGTAAATTTCCAGACACACAAGTGGCCAGCCCTGGGCCCAAATGCTGAGATTCTCTCCCACACCATCCTCACTTGCTCAACAGGATGTGTTCCCCTCCTCCAAAGCCAGGCCTTTACTCGACCTCCCACTGTCCTGTAACCAGGCCCTGCCTACGCAGTCTCTGTTGTGGCCACTGGATCCACCAAACCCTGCAGACTTGCATTTTCACCAGCGGCAGCTCTAGTCTACCACTGACCTGACTTTCACCCCGAGCATGGCCTGGTTTTCTTTGCAAGGCCCAGGACTTGGTAGCCCCCTTGTCTCCCTGCCTGCACCCCACAGGCCCCACTTTTTCCAGATCTGATATGGACAATGTGTTTATAGAGCTGGGCAAACTCCAGGCTTGCTATGACTTTCCAGGGAAAGATACTCCTCTGAAACAGGTAAGGGCTTGTTCTTTGACGTCTGTAAGTGTCAACTAAATAGGTGATGCCAGTGTGCCACCTGCAGAAGGGTTCCAGCATCCTCGGTGGCACTACCTTGCCTTCTCTCTCATTCTGGGCTGGATGCCACATACTTCCAAGAACTTTGCAACAAGGATTCTTTGGAGGAAGTCCAAAGACTGCACTTAGTGAGAAAGGGTTTTTTTCCCCCAAACACCTGGTGGGGCTGCCCAAGTGGTTGGGGAGATACTAGCTCAAGGGGGGGTCACCTGGGGCAGTGCACAGGCTGAGGAGGAGGAAGCACAGGAAGCAGCTTGCTGACTCTCCCTGGGCCCTATGAAAAGAGGACTCTTGCCTGGGGCCCTTGTAACCTGGCGTTGTAAACAACTGCGACGCTCCCAGCTGCTGTCCTCAGTGCAAGACATATGGAGGAAGACAAGATTGGGCTCTAAATCTGAGAAATGGAGCAAACCCCAGGGGTTAGGGAGTGGGGCGGCAGGAGCACCCAAGGGGAGTCATTTGGAAGCCTTTCCCCCACCCCCAGTGCACACAAATCAGGGAAGTGGCTCCAAAAATGTAAGCTGGAGCTCCTTGCCCCCATGGGAAGCTGGCAACCAGGCCCTTCCAAAAAAGGCTAAGGCACCTTAAATGTGAAGGAAGCACCCCAAGGGACAGTCAGAAGCAGCCTGGCGCAAAGCAGAGGTTTCCGGAAGCAGAGGCTGGGCCTGCTCTAGTCACTGAGTGCCCAAGGGTACCTGGCCATGGCAGGCACTCAGTAAGGACCTGCATGAATGCCTGGGTCCATCAGGAGCAGTTTGGGGCAGAGTGAGCAAAGTTGTAACGAATAAAAGGAACGTTGGGCCCCCCACTTTTGGGGACTGAGGAGAGCCAGGCCACATAAATAAGGGGGCAGCTGCGTTCAGGTGGGAAGCTGAGCCCAGGGTGTGCCCTAGTGGGCCAGTACAAACACTTGTGCCACAGCACGACCGGGAGTCGAAGAGGACTGTGGCACGAGCAGTGAGCCTCAGGCTCAAACAGCGCCCTTCAGAAGATACACTGAGTCACCGCTTGCTCTGTGAGCCCAGGAAGAGCTGTGTCTGGGCTGGCACAGTCCTCCTCGCTCCACCCACCAGCCATGGCTCCAGCCCTCCCCACACATCCTTTCTACTCTGCCTCATGGTCCCAAAATGCCTCTGAGCAGGTTCAGAGGAGGTGCAAGGCCAAATGCTTGAAGTAGACACCCCAGGGCACCACCACAGGACAAGGGGCTGTCCTCATTTAGGGTGGACAATCCTGAAACAGCATCCTCCCCTTGCGTCCCGTGCCCCCGTGTATCAGACACCGGGAATATATTTTATTCCACCTTCTGTGTCTTGTGGCAGCCACATCCCCACAAGAAAGCTGAGCCGTTCCTTAGAGAAGTAGAATAGATTTAATCTCTAAATGTGAAATGTTTAGGTTAGCAACAATTATTGAAACCCACAGACTGGGCAGAAGCTGTCCCCTGAAGGTATGCCAAGGTCCTGAAGGCTCCCTGTTCAGTTCGGAGCTGTTGGCCAGATGTTCACTTTGCGCTCTGCTTCAATGCAGTACTTCTCAGGAAGGCCGGAGGCTCTGCCAGGAAAATGCAGGGCAAGCGTGAGGAAGCCACAGGATCCAGAGGAGGCAAGAAGCAGCAGGTGCTGGGGGTGGAGCTTGCAGGACCTGGGGATCTGCACCCCAATACACTCCCAAAGCTCACCACCCCCCAACACACACACACTGCCAACCACTTTCCTACCAAGGTTCAGGTCCCAGAACATGCTGCCTGAGGCCATGTGACTTCATAGGGGTGGACTCTCTGAGCACCTCTGCCAAGGCACTCCTTCCCCAGATCCAGCCTTGCTCTTCTCTTTGGGGAAAGGAAAGGGAGCCTGGGAAGAAAGGGACCATGGTACCTCAGCTCTTCGAGTTTCTTCTTCTTAATGTCCTTAATGCGCTCCTGCCGCTTCTGGGCCTCCTCTTGGAGGCGCCGGCCCTCCTCGAAGGTGGCAATCCGGTTCTGCACCTGCTTCTGCTGGTTCTCACGCACCTGGCGCCGGAGCTCATTGGCGTGCTGCAAGCGCCCCGTGGCCTTTTTCTCCTCCTCTAGCCGCTCCTTCTCAATCTGCTCTCGCTGAGCCCTGAGGAGGGTCACAGAGTTCAAGAGGCCAGGCTGTGCCTGCACCTATCCTGCTGAAGAAAGACTGGGAGGCAGGTGCACGGCTCCTCCCTGGGGGATGCTCTCAAGGCCACAGACCTCGGCTCGAGGCCTGGGCCCTTCTGCAACTCAGGGCGGCCACCATGTGCTCCTGCCCCCTCAACCAGAAAGAGCCTCCTGGGCCACAGCTGTGTGTCAGGCAGCGCAGAAGGGCCCCAGGCTCAGTTAATGCCCAGCTGTCCAGGGTATTGAACTTCTTTAACAAGTTCTCACTGCACTCTGAAAATTGTGTAGCTGGTTCTACACCCAGGCTTTTGCACCCTGGGAGTTATGGCTGCTACTCTTGCTTCATAGCAACTCATAGCTCCTCTTTGGCTTGTTCTAACACTCCCTTCCTTCCTTCCTTCCTTCTTTCCTTCCCTCCTTCCTTCCTTCCTTCCTTCCTTCCTTCCTTCCTTCCTTGCAAAACCAGAAAACAAAGGGACAAAGGGCAAAGGCTTGAGCAAAACTACATAGGCTAAGTAAACTAACAGCAAGTTGAGAAAAAGCCTCACAGAAAGCCACAGGAAGCAGCCCCAAAGCTACCCACGTTCTCACGTGTATCTGCCCCTTTTCTGTGCTCCAGAGAGCTGTGCATAAAATTCAGGACTTGGATGCTTCCTTGGTGTCCTCTTGTCCCCTCCTTCCATTATATTGGAAGGAACCAGAATTCAGCTCAGAATGCCCTGAACACATTTCCTCTGAGATGTGACCACATTTTATTTCAATTTTTTCTGAGCCTATCTAGTATTTTTTTCTTTGGATGTCAGGGCCCATTAAGGGGTGTGTGTGTGTGTGTGTGTGTGTGTGTGTTTGTGTGTGTGATGGCTTTTGGTTTTGACTCTAAAAAACACACCTGGGCATTCCCCTCTGCCTGCTGTATTCTGTTGCTTCCTTCTATGTCACCTCAAATAAGGACCTAGAGGGAAAAAGAGCTGCTAACTCACCCTGCCTGCCTGCCTCCCTTCCTTTCCTCTCTAACAATAATAGCAGTAAAACCAACAAAGAAACAGGTGATATGGGCTGTAAAGCTAACCCTAAGTTCCTGGAAAACGGAAAAAGCTTAGCCTGGTATCTTAGTTCTCTTATTGCTCCTCCTCTCCAAATTCCTCTTAGAAGCTGCTTCCACCGAAATATCACACAAAGCCAGGCATGGGGGCACACACCTGTGGTCCTAGCACTCTGCAAGGTTGAGATAGGAGGATTTCAAATTTGCCCAGCCTGAGCAACTCAGCAATTTAGCAAGACCCCGTCTCAAAATAAAACACATAATTAAAGTGCCTGCTTAGGCAGATGCAGGGGCTGGGAGTTCGATCCCCAGGCATGACGTGCCAACCCTGACCCTGGGGCACGCTGAGATGACAATTGAGACTGGGTGTGGTGGTGCATGCCTGTAATTCCAGCACTTGGGAGGCTGTAAACAGGAGGTTCACTACGAGTCCGATCTACACAGTGAGACCCTGCACACCCTGTCCTAAATACTAAATAAATAAAACATAAATGAAAGGCTGGAGAAGCAGCTCCATGCAAAGGCTAGGTTCAAGTCCCCACACCTCTCTCTCTCTCTCTCTCTCTCTCTCTCTCTCTCTCTCTCTCAATGGGCCCTGACATCAAAAGAAAAAAATACTAGAAAAAAAATTGAAATAAAATGTGGTCACATCTCAGAGGAAATGTGTTCAGGGACATTCTGAGCTGAATTCCGGTTCCTTCTAATATAATCAAAACCGAGCTCCAAAGCCATCTTAGGGAGGCCAGGTATGGTGGGCACACCTGTAACCCCAGCACTTGGAAGGCTGAGGCAGGAGGATTACTGCAAATCTGAGGCCAGCCTAGGCTCCACAAGTGAGCTCAAGGCCAGCCTATACTACATAACAAGACCCTGTGGAGAACAACAACAACAACAAGCCATCGTAGGCAGGGGTCTTTCTCCTGCTCTCCTCTCACAAGCTCACTCCTATCCCAACAAAGATCCAAACACACTCTTTGTTTTCTCGTCCCCGCTCCCCATCCTCCATGATCTACCATACTTGTTGCATCCTCTCAAACCCCAGCAGCTCTTTCTACCAGCCAGACACCTCCTAAAATCCCACCCCCTCTACAGAGCCTTCCCAAGTTTATCTGTTGAGAGTGGCTGGCTTCCTTGACCTTTTGTATCTGGACCCCAAACACACACTGCTGGGACAGCACGGTGACTCACCCCTGCCTCAACACTGATTCCCTATGTGTAGATCACATTCCTGTGGTGTATCTTCCTCTAACTAGAGGAGTGAATGTGAAGAAAAGCGTTCTGTCACACTGGAGGGAAACCCTACGAATGTAAACAATGTGGTAAGGCCTTCACTTTTTGCAGTGCCCTCCATGTGCCTGAAAGAACTCATTCTAGAAAAACCCTATGAATGCAAACAACATGGAACAGAATTCACTTTTTCTGTTGCTTCAAATATATGAAAGAACTCTCCCTCTATGGAAACCCTATGAAGGTAAACAGTGTGGTAAGACTGATGCTTACTCCAGAGACCCCTGAAAGCTTGGAAGAACTCACATTGAAAGAAACCTTATAATAAAGAGCAGAATAAAAGATAAATAGGAAGTGCGGAAGTCTTTTCCAACTGGATGAGGGAACAAGACAGAGGGACGGAGGAAGGAGGGAAAGGAAAGGTGATGGGGGTTTGAGAATTGAGGGGGGAAATGAAGAAAATAGAACTTTTGCAAGTGAAAAGGGGTCTAAGAGTTAGAAAGGGCAGGCCAGGAGGGAAGCATTAGAGGATGAAAACTAAAGGAAGTAAAATGTATTATGTGCATGTACTGACTCTGCATAATAAAGGTAATTATTATGTACTACAGATATGAAATAATAAAAAATTTTTTAAGAGGAAAAAAGAAACAAAAGTATTCTGTATACCTTGGGTGGTGGGCACTGGGAAATCTGCGTGGGAAGAGCCCACCACTCTACAGGGTTGGGTCCATGATCCTGTGCCAGGCTACGCATTAAAATCATGTTGGGAGGGGCTGGGGAGATAACTCAGTGGAATAAGTGCTTGCCTGGCAAGAAAAAGGTCCTGAGTTCTATCCCTGGTACCACCAAAGATAAATAAATAAATAAAACAAAATAAAATAATGTTGAGGATTTCAAAAGATACTGACATGTAATATCAACATTTTTGCAAAGGTGCCAGGCATTTCTGAGGCGGTGTAGATCAGCTATATCTTATTCAACATACTGAGCGTTAAAGATGTCCCTCTGTCTAGATGCGGGAAGCCCTTACGTAGGCCACCCGGGAGGCTCTGGCTTTAAAGTCAGAAAAATCTGGATTGCTGACTTTGACAAAGACAGTCTAAGAGCGAAGACACCCACTGTGACGGTCACCTGACCCAGAGACACTAGGACTAGATGACAAGCTGGGACAGCAGGTGAAGTCCAACCTGTCTGAAAGAGCAGGCCAGCTTTAATAACTGGCTAGTGCATCTGCTTGAGGTAAACAAAGCTCAGCAGAGGCAAATGGGTCAGCAGCACAAGCAGGACCTTCATTTCATTTCATTAATATTTATTAGCGCTGCTGCTAAAGATACATAAATGTCCTAGGGCCCAGAGACCAGGAGGGAGAGGGGACACATCTGGAAGGCAATCCGGAGCCCAGGGGCAACGTCGCTGAGGGCATCTAGGAAGGTGTCTCCTCCACCGGGTGTCTAGTGACAATGGCACAACCCCAAGGGCAGGGAAAGTATGGAGCCAAAGGGCATCGCAGCCAGCGAGTACTACCTATAGGGCCTGTGAGCCTATGAAAGATCAGGAATCTGGCTCTGGCGAGGACATAGCATCCCCCAGATCGGCTCTGCCTCTGCCAGGGCCCTGAACTGCCAGGTCTACATGCCACTATTAGAGACAGTACAGAGACCAAAGGCCTGAAGCATGCTTGCCGTGGAAGTCAGGCCACCCATTTAATCTCTACTTATCTAGGCATAACTTATGTAATTCTGTAATATCCAGATTCAAATTCTGCTCGGCTGCTCTCCAAGGTCCAGAACAAGAAGGGAGTTGTTTCTAGGTTGATCCAGTCTGGTGGTGACAGATAACAACTGGCAGAAAATAGAGTACAGAGGGAGCCCAGTGGCATCTGTGAGTCCTGACTGCTGAGGGGAGCATCAGGGACAGGGAGCCCTATGAACGCTTTCTGCTGCTTAGGTGCTGGAATTATCCTTGAGACAAAACAGAGAGCAGAAATGAAAGTATGAAAAGTTGTCAGGCAGGAAAAACGGATGCACAGAGGCGAAGTCCATTCGAACATAAATCTCTAGCACCTTCCCACGGAGTAAGCAAGAGCTCTCTTTGTTGATTCCTCGTGGCCGCCGTGGTATCTAGAGCAAAGCTTTGATTGTATATGTCAGTGCACCTTTGCGGAATCCATGGCAAAGGTCTCCTTCAAAGTCCTACCCTAGTGACACAGCCCTCAGTGAATGGAGTTCTTCTCCACCCCTCTCAGTCTCTTCTGGGGAAGCCTCCTCCCTAACTTGCAGGTGGACCCAGGAGCAGAGGGCCAGATTTACATACACCTTCACTTCCCTAGGATAAATAGCCCTGATAAGCCTCAAAATGGTCTCGCTATGCAATTTGTGCTGGCCTTGTGCACACCTTCTGTAGTCCCCAGGCTGGCCTCGAGCTGGAAGTGAGCATGCTGTCCCAACCTCCCCCATGCTGGAATTACAGGCATGCCTCACCACCTCAGGTTCCTGGCGGGCATAATGCACCCAGGGATCTGAGCCAGCAAGGTATATGGCACCAGAGATCAAACTGGGGACTTGGACTTGCCAGTAGGTGCTCATTCCTCTGAGCTATCTCCCCAGCCCCAAGCCTCAAAATCCTAAAAGCACTTCCAGATGCTATTTTCAATTCTCTCATCACAGACTTCTTGGCTCACGCCGTTCAAGACATTCTAACCACCCATCTAGTAGAGTCATAGCACCACCATGGTCAAGAGGGATATGTGTCTATTCATCAAGAAAGTGTCTCTCCATCTAGCGTGAATCATCCCTGCTAGGTACCTCCTCACACCCCTCCCACTGTAAGACTCACAGGGAAAGCAAGCCAGGGTTCCCACTCCCCTCCTACCGGAGAATCCGTTCAAACTCATCCCGGTCCCGTTGCACCTGAACAGCCAGAGTGTGCTCCTTGAACGCCACCTGTTCCAGTCGACTTTTTCGCAGCTTAGCCTCAGTTTCCATCTTCTTTTGTGCATTTTCCTTTTCCTTTCTGCGCCATTCTCGGTCTGCAACCTCTTGGTTGCGCCTGGCCCGCAAGGCATCCTGGGAAGGGATGGGGTGAACATGTGTAAAAAACCTCAGGTATGGGCCAGGTGTCTCAAGGAAGACACCTATGTACAGCGTTACTCAGTCATCCTTAAGAAGCACGTGGATTTCTCCAGCAGCAAATCATTCTAAGAAAGAACCCAGCCTAGAACTTTAGGTCAGAAGACAGCCCAAGGGGTCACTTTGTCCTTCCCTCCACTTTGCCCCATTCCTTCCAAGTCCCCAAACACCTACAGGCAGTCCAGTCATTGCTTCCAATTTTAAAAACTATTAATGACAGAGATATCACAAGTTCCACTGGTGACAAATTTCATCCAGACAAGGTCAAAAGTTCTTTACATAGAAGCCAAAACCTTTCTTCATTAAGCTCCTTGTTCCCTATCACCAAAGCACATGGCAGACACAAGGCAGCCACTACTCTATGTCTCATGCTTGGGACCATTTTACAGGCTGCCACAGGGAGAACTATAGGAGTGGTGCAGGCAGGAGAAAGCGGAGAAGGAAAGGAGGCCAGTACCTGTTCTGCCTGGTAGTCCTGGGCCTTTTCCTGCATGGCCCTCAGGCGCGCAATCTCCTTCTCTTTCTCTCTCCGGATTCTCTCCTGCTCAGCCTCAAACTCTGCTTCTCGAGCCTGCCAAGAGAAGAGGCCTCACTAAATAGTTCTCTTTGACCCAGCCTTGAACAGAGAACAGCCCACATGACACAATTCTATTATCTCCCCCATCACTTTCTGACTCTTAAGAAAGGCAAAATGTACTCAGCAAATGCATGGACACAAAAAGTTAGTCTTTGTAAAATACTTCTTTTTGGCAGTACTGGAAATTGAACCCAGGACTTTTGCACTGAGCTACATCCCCAGGCTGGTCTGAACCGGTGATCCTTCTACCTCAGCTTCCCACTATACTTGGCTTACAAGTATGCACCACAAAGCTGCCTTAAAATGCTCTGTGGTTTACAAAAGTCTTTCCTATGCATTCAACTCATGAGACAGATATTACAGATGAGGAAGCTGACATTCATAGAGATCAAAGAACCTGCCCAAGATCACCTAACCAGTAAAAAGTCAAACAGGGTTTGAATGCATCTATCTTCCTGAGCACACCTTTTGTACCCTCAGCACATGGCAGATAATTTTCAAGGTGCACGGCCACTGGGCCCAGTAGCAACTGTGGCTCTCTGCCTGTCTTGTAAAGTGCAGCAGGTGGAGGTTATCTCATTAATCCCTGGGCAAAGAGCCAACCATGCTCTGGGCAATCCCACAGCAGTTGGCAGATACCCACAGAGTGAACCATCAAAATTAGTTTCTTTTACCGCCTCTCTGAAAGGGTGAGTATATCCCTAAAGCTTCCCAACCCTAGGACTTGGGCAATAAGACTGAAGGCAGAGCGTGAATGAAAATGTGATCTTCCCAACAAGTACCTGCCTTAGGCCTCATTCTACCTTCCCAGGCTCCTGGGCAACCCAGTGGGCTGCCTGCTTGCGAGCCGTGCTCTGCTCTGTCAAGCTGGGTCAGCTTTCAGCTCTGCGGGGGCAGCGCTGGCCAAGGCTACAGACACCCCTGAGAGGGGAAGCAACTGTGACATTCAATCATGCATCACAGCATGTTGTGATCAAGGCCAGACCGCATACACAAAGGTGGTCCCCAGTGATTACATCATCAAGTGACACTGTATCCTCTACATACTCTGTGACCGTCAACGACGATCAAATCACCTAATGACACCTTTCTAAGAATGGGCACCATCATTAAGCGAAACGGGATAGAACGCACTTAGGTACTGACCCTGGAGTGTAGAGGCTCACATGTCTCATCCCTATGCGGGCACTAGCCTCTCCCAGCTACTCCTGGCCAGGATCCTTTCCATGGACAAAGATAAGATATATCCCTCCTGATCAGAAAGCTACAGTTATGGCTCAGCACTGCACCCCCTCTGTCCTGCTCAAGGTCCCAGACACCCCCAACAACATCTCGCAGCTCTCCAGTGCTCTCAGGTCATCCTGCCATCCTCCCTTCTCATGATGACTGTCTCACACGCTGCTGGAGCGTCTCCAGCTCGTATGCATAATTAGCTCATTATCTCCACCTCCCTCCATCCAGGGAAGTAACTGTTGGGTTCTATACCCAGGACTAGGCACTCCATCTAGCCTGATACTAGACACACGTTGAAGCGTTCAGTCTTATTTTGAATCAATCCACAGCTACACCACAATGGTTGTAAAGATTAAATGAGACAGCACAAATAAAACAACAGCACAGAGCATATGTACAGCCTCAGTGCTTAATAAACAGTAGTTATAAAACAATCAAGATGTGATATATGTGTAACAATTCCCCACAATGAATGCATTCATTATATGCTGCAAACATATACTAATAAAAGGGAGGAAAATAAAATATTTAAAAATATAATAAAAGAAAAATAAATGGTAGTTATACAGCCATTACTACGGTGAGGACGTAACGTCTATGGCTCACTTCTCTCACAGTCCTGCTCTGCAGAGTGCGGTACTATACCCTGTGCCTCCCCAGAATCTTCTACGAGAACCAGAGCCAGAGAGTGAGCTTTGCTGACTTTCATTTTTTGTGGCTTGTTTTCAACATAAATCAATACACCAACTGTGTCTGTCCAAATGATAGCTACCTTCCCCTCCTTCATTAAGAATCCCTACTCCAGGGAAACACAGAGAAATGTGATGCATTTCCTGTTAGCTTAGAACTACAAAAGTTTCAGGGCAGACAGGACCAACATAGGAAAAAACAATCAAGTGTTTCTTTCTTTTTACACAAATCCATCTTCATGCATACCTAAAAGCCTTCTTTTGCCCTCTGTCCCCCAGAGACCCCAATCATTCCATCCCTCAATTTTGCTCCAGGATGAGTCCACACGTCTGGAAGTTCTACCCACCCATCGCGGTTTGTAGGCTTCCCTCTCCACACCATGCCTTTGTTCTGACAGGTTCTACGGTGAGCGGAAGGAAAAGGCTATTTTTCCTGAGTCTGACACCCAACACAGGATGCTGACTCAGGATTACTGGGGAAAGCCAAGCCTTGAAAAATCCACCAAAACTTCACTTTCACCAATCATTGCAATTTTCTTCCCTTCCTGCCCATGATCCTGGTCCCAACTTCTAAACCAAGGTGTTAATGAGAATAACACACCCATCTGGGGTTCTTTCTAGGTTACTTTCTGCTAATGAACAAATGTTCTGGCCAAGATGAAGAGGAAAAAAAGATCCAAGCACCTGATATAAGGCCATGTAGTTTATTTTATTATTATTTTTATGTATTTGGTACAGGGTCTCACTATGCAGCTTGCACTCATAGTGATTCTCCTGTCTCAGCCTCCCTGGTGCTGAGATTACAGGTGTGTGTCACCAGCTCAGTGTGCCCAGGGACAGGGACATGGCACGTAATGCTGGGAATTGAACCCCAGTTTCAGTGATTGCCTAGGCAGGTGCTTAGTCCACTCAGCTATATCACTGGCCCAGGACATGCAGAAGGAAGATGGCACCACTTCTGCTAGAGTTCCCTTGGCACTACACCTGCCTCCTGAGGCTACAGCCACGCTGTTCCCAGCCAGAGAGAAACCCAGTCCCTTACCATCTTCTTCTTGGTGAATTCCATCACCATCTGGTCGGCCAGCTTCTCCTGAGCCAGCAGCTGTGCTTTCTGCCTCTGGTTTTCGTCATTGATGCGCTTAATCTCAGCCTGCATCTTCAGCTTTTCCTGATGTCTCTGCTGCAGGTCCTGCCAGGCAAACAGAGAGAGACTCAGAGCAGGAGGAGGTGGAACAAGAGGCTGTAGGCTTACAGGGGTAAAAATGAAGACAGAGACAGGAGACAGAGGCGCTGCTACAGCCCTGCCTCCATCACCACCTTGGTTAAGGCTGCTCTCCTACCGGTCCTCGGGATGGCTGCCCAGTGGCCACCCGCCCACCTCCGCACACCTAGGGAGTGAAGGCTCTCAGAGCTCTACTCTGTGCCCCTCCCTGCTTGTGACTCCAATTCCCAGCCTGGTGGCTTTGTTCATGCTGCTCTTCTCCTGCCTTCAATCCCTTCATTTGCTTCTCCTATGTAAACCCAAACTTTTGTTAAAATTTTCTTTTAATCTTTTTTTCCCTCAGCACCAGAGGTTGATCCCAAGACCTCTGCACTGAGCTATCTCCCCAGCCTTTTTTTATTGTGTTTTCAAATTTTGCGACAGGGTCTAAGTCACTAAATTGCCTAAAGTGGGCTTGAATTTACAATTTCCTGTCTCCGCCTCCCGGAGTGCTGAGATTATAGGCGTGTATTACAATGCCAAGATTCAAATTTTCTTTTTTAAATTTACTTTTTAAATTGACAAACTCAAATTTTTAATCTCCATACAATTGGTAATGCCTAACAATAAGTATCACCCTGCTTACGTGCTTTCCACTGTGTCCTCTGTGTTCACTGGGCGCTCCGCATGGCCCATCTCTAACATCTAAGTATCATCCCCCAACTGTGATAGACACCTCTTGGGCATATGAAGTGACTTGCCCAAGGCCACACAGCTAATAGACCCAGAGCCAGGATTTAGAAATTGCTTTCTCTCATGTAATTTCAGCCTTCTCTGAGATCTCACTTTATCATCCCAGCTTTCAGTTTTCTCTCTATTCCTGAATTACCTCTGCACTCATGGTGGCCCGAGGCCTCTTGGGAGGGATCCTATACTACTACAGGAAAACAGCAATATAAACTATTGCTAAATAAAGACCAAAATGAGTAGCATGTGAGAACCATGAGCATAAAAGTCCTAGACACACACACATACACACACACACACACACACACACACACACACACACACACAAACTGCATCTCTGACCTCTGGGGAAAAGAGTCCCAGCTATGGAGAAAAGAGTCACTCTAACCCTGAGGGACAGAGCCTTTCTGAGAAAGGAGCTCCTGTCTTTTCCATCTCTGAGCCCCCCAAATCTCCCACTCTCAGACCACCTCTGAGCCCAGGCCCATTCTCAGGTTAGGGCAGAAAGGGGCACTGCAACGTCGTGCACCTGACCTGCGACCTCACGCACCATGACCTCTGGTGGATTTTCCACTCCTCACTTCCTACACTTTTTAGCTCCCTTTGTTTCTTCAAAGCCAAAATCCCTCCTGGGCCTTGAAGCTCCTCAGTCCAACTTCTGCCCCAAGTTGCTCAAGTCAACCCTGCCTCGTGCCCTGCTCTTGGGCTACCTTTTGGCCTGCCTGGCTCACTCCACCCCAGTTCAGGCTCCCCACCCCAGGAAGCCTTCTGAACCGCATCAGCACAGGAAGCCGCTGCCTCTCTAGTCTGTGAAGCCCATGAGCTACAGCCTTGAGCATTCCTTCTCTCACTCTGCACACCATTCACTCAACATTTCCACTCGGCTCCTCCAACTAACACTCCTTTTTTTCCTTCTCCATTTCTTCTTTGGTTTTCTGGCTTCTCTCACCAGTTTAGGCCTTCTGTTGATGCCCACAGCATTACCGAATCTCACTGAATCTCAAAGCTAAGGAAGCTGCTGGCCTTTGATCCAGGACATATAGACAACCATGGGTCTATTGCTTCCTTCCTTATTTACTCTTTGACTTGATGTTTTTGTTGGCCCACTTAATTTCCAAGAAACCAAGGACTTTCCCTGTTTCACCTCTGGAACCTTCAGAGCAACCCAAAGAAACTCCTTGCTCTCTTCTCCATCTTGCTAACAAGGTGGGAAAGGCCGCCTATGCATCTTGAGATGACAGGGCAGCTCTAAAACAGGGGAAGCATGGAATTTCTAACCTAAAATTACCACTTCCTTCTGGAGGCTCAGGGAAAGACACCCACAGGACAGTGACCCTGCTGCAGAGTAACAATACTGACTGACTCTTGGAAATTCCTATCGATTCCCCCTCTCCACAATCTGGTTGGAATTTCCACTCTTTTTTTCTCACATCCTTTCCCTGTGTATGTTCCCCTCCCACTCCTTCCTAGCCTTGTCCTACCCTCTCTCCTGAGCCTTAGCCCACTCCTCAAGCAATTCACAAAGCTAAATGCTCCCTTTCCTCTCTCCACTACCCACTGACCTCCATCCCACCCCTGACACTGATCCCCACACTGCGGGTGCTCTGATCACCTTCAGAGCTACAAGTCTGCCCACCTGGGGGACCCTCTGCAGCTCCCTCACTCATCACCATCAAATGCACAGCCTGATACCAACCCAGTCATCCACAAACCAGGCGAAGGGATAAAAATAAAAGAATATATGCTCCACAGGTTAAGCAGTGCCATAAAGGAAAATATCAGACAAATGCCAATGTGGAATATCCTCTAAAGCAAGCAACTGCCTGGATGCCTCCAAATATCAGTGTAACAAAAATAAATGAATGGGGGCATGTGGACAGAGGATGGTTAATGCACAGTGGTGCAACTGGATACAAAGACTAGCGTCTAACATTCTGTGGCACCCTGGGAGAGCTACTGCTGACAACTTATTCTACATTTCAAAAGAGCTAGGAGAGGAGATTCTGAGTGTTCCCCCATGAAGAAATGTTAACTGGAAATGAGGGATACGCCAGCTGCCCTGATCTGACCACTGCACATTGTGTACTGAACTGTCATACTGTACCCCCTAAACATGCACAATTACCATGTCAACTATTTTAAAAATAAAAGCACCAATGACTGAGATTGTAGTGATCCTCCCATTTTCAGCCTCCGCAGCGCTAGCATTACAGAATGTGCCACTATGCCTGGTCTTAGTCACCAACTCAGTGCACCTGGGGGCGCAGGGCCAACGCGGCATGCAGTGCCAGGGAGCGAACCCCAGTCCATGCAGTTGCCTAAGTAGGTACTTAGTCTGCTTCTATATCTTACTGGCCCTGCATTGTAAGAGTTTCTGATAAGAATGTTATTGCGAGCTGAGGAAGCTAGGAAATTGATCACATATGTGTAGTTGAGACTAGGCCTCAGTGCCTAAAGCAAAAAAAGCTACCTCAGTACTGGGGTAAACATCCTGTCTGGTTAAAGTCAGCTATTAGTCGCTAGGCAACCTTGTGTCACATGTGACTAACTTTGTAAAAGTATAAATAAACAATCATTTTGTGCAGCTGCATTAGTCTTGCCCATCAGGCAGAACAGCAACCACCTAGCCCAGCTTTTGTCTTCTTGTCTATCTTTCTCATGCCTGCTGCCGTTTCTCCCCAGGTGGAACCTCGCAGTGAGACCAACAGATCCCCACAAATGTGATAACAGTACTACTGATATCTAAGACTTCTTCAGAGATTCAGGCTGATGCATTTTAGTAACAAAGTGTTAAGATATCTGCAATTTAAGATAGATTAACAGTAGAAAAATATAGATATGTATGAAAACAAGCAACTAAAGCAAATTGTTAGTATTCACTAAGTCTATAGCAAGAATTCACAGGTAGGCCTGCTGAGGCAGACACAGGAACCAGGGGTTTGATCCCCAGGCCTGGCATGCTGGCCCCATCCGCCAAGGTATGCTGAGATGGCATTTGAAACTGGACATGGTGGTGCACACCTGTAATCCCAGCTCATGGGAGGCTGTAAACAGGGGGGGATCACTATGAGTCCAATCTACATAGTGAGACCCTGTACTAAAATATATATATATAAAAAAAAAAAAGAATTCACAGGTAGAATACAAAATTAACTTTTCTGAGCATGTAAAATTTTTAAAATAAAAAAAAATGAAGGAAAAAGAGAATAGACGCTCCAAATGCCAGTCATGTCCCTCCGTGGCTGTGTACCTTGCAACAGAATAGATCAGACAAGTAGAAAAGGACATGTAAAGTCTCCTTAACTTGGGCAAGCATTTCTCAGATGTTGCTTTTTCAGTGGGTATATCTACACATCTTCTTTAGGTTCCCAGAACAAAGAGTTGGCTTTGCCACACAATTAGTGACAATGGGATGCTATGCACTTTAAATAACAACGGAGAGCCTGGAACCAAGGCATGGCCACTGTTCATCTACAAAGTGTGTTCTATCTTTAGGCAATGGACACAGGCTATAAAGCGTGGCCATGTTTACTTGTGCAAAGCTCGCAGCCCTAGACTTGCTTTATGTGTCTGTTCACATTAGTCTCAGACCCCAGGTCCCAGGGAAGCAGGGCCAATGTCTCCCTAGTCACTGCTCATTCCCCAGCATGACACCATAGCCAAATAAATGTTTAATGTGGCAATAAAAAGGGGATGATGATGACATTGTGAAATGAGCATGTGTCTGGGAGGGAATCAGCCCACACCCTGAAACCCCCCAATCTTAGAGGGTTTTGTTGCAATTGCTGGTAAAATTTGGCGAGGCCCGTGTGGCCCCATTACCCGCAGATCCTCCTCGTGGAGCTGCTCCATGTACTCCAGCAGCTGCTCCTTCTCCTGCTCCCGCTGCTCCGCAAGGAGCGAGCGCTCCTCCTGGTTCTTTTCCATCTGTTCCACAATGTGTCGTCTTCCTCTGGGAAGGAACAGTAAGACAGTGTTACAGATACCCAGGCTCCAAGTCCCTCTGCTCTAACATCCACCTAAACACCCACCCCAAAACAGGAAGGAGATTTTACAGGGACAATTTGGCAAGCACCCCTTTGCACATTCACAGTGGGGCCCTAATTCCTATGTCTCACTGCCCAGTGGCTCTGAACCACCAGTGGCACGTACATGCAGGAGTGTCCCATCAGGCAGTATAGGACGGTCCCATTGCATAGAATGAGTTTCTCAAATCCTACCTCTTCTCAAATCTTCTCTGAGTATGGGAACCAGCCTGCTGAAATTTCGAAGACTTACAAAGCCCAGGACTTCAGATACATGTGAAGCGTGTGTTATCCCCTGCCCCTGCCTCCTCTGACAACTATTTTTCTTATATCTTACCTACATTTAAGACAACCCACTGCTGCACAACAGGGCTGGGACTGAGGAAGTCTCTCAGTCAGGTGACTCCCCAGCCTGAGTAAAGAGTTGGAGACTGGGTCTGTGTTGTTACCAGTAATGTTCTGCATGTGCCTAAGATGTCAGTAAACTTGGGAGCAACTAGACCCCATGACATCAGTACAGGCTGGAAGAATGACAGAAAACAAGATCTGGAAAGACTCAACATGAAGGAGTACAGTACTTCATTCTCTTAGGAAGAGGACTTTCTGGGCTTCCTATTCCAGGTGAAATGAACCTGAAAGGAGCCCTGAGTTCAATACAACAACCAGGTGAATTCATCAGAGATATTCTGCATTGCAGCTGCTTGAGCCGAACGTGCACAGCCACTTAGATACAAAATCAACTTTGGCTAGGAACCCTCTGCAGCCTACTTCGTGCCTATTAGAACCACAAAGAGGCATGGTTCAAGGTAACCAAATGCAGCTGGAGAGAGAAAAATGCCAACCAAAGTGCGCTGTACAGGATGCTCCTATGGGTGAGTCATTTTGTGTAGCTGGTGCTCTAACTCTAGAACACTATGCTTCTGTCATCTACCTACTCTGGGACTTGACCTATTCTGAAAAATGATGGGAGAGAAACACTGAGTGTATTCATGCTCGTATGAAGTGAGCACCTAGCTCCAGGACAAACATTGTGCGAGGGCCTGGAGTTTCAGACAGGAATGACACAGCCCCTGTCCTTTATGACTCCAAGTCTAGTAAGGGTTAAGAAGGAACCACATCCCAGGAAGACATGTGGAAGAGTGACAGTGCACAGAAGAAAAGCTCCTGAGCTAGCCTGAAGAAGGGAGCCTTCTCCATGGAGGTGACAGTAAAGCCACATACTACAGGAAGGGAAAGCATTTTCCCTGAGGAAAAAGAAAGAGAATAGGATTCCAAAGAGAGGGAATCTGTGCCAAGGCCTAGCACGCAGGGGAAACAGGGAATGTGGAGTGGGTGGCAGGAAGTGGTGAGGACTTGGACTGAGCTGGGGCCAGATGGAGGAGCACTTGCTATAATCGTGTCAGCGAGCTTGAAAGTTCTGTGACTCCCTGTACCCTGCCTGGAGGACAACAGAAGGTGACAATGCCCAAGTCTCAGCTCATCCCTCCTGGCTAGGCCACATGGACTTCATGGAGCTCAGAAATGACGTAGGGAGGAAAACGCAAACCACATCTTTACCGTATTCTTTCCTCCCTCCTCCTCCTGTCCAGTTCCTCCTGCCTTTGGATGGATTTCTGCCGCTCCACTTCCATCATCTGATCCAGCCGCTTCTCCTCTGCATCTAGCTCTTTTTGTATCTGCTGCTTCTCCAGGATCTGGGCATCCCGGATGGCATGGCACTTGGCATTGAGGATAATCTAGGGAGTGGGGAAGAAACCGTGGCACCAGGCTTTGGGGACAAGGATAAAGAAGGACACGCTATGGGTGTGTGGGAGGAGATCAAATATCTCTGAGTGTGCTGAGTGGGTGTGCAGCTGCTCACAGTCCACAGAGCCAATACCATTTAGTAATCTGCCCTCCCCCTTTGCATAGCTGAGATACCCTCTGGGGTCTGACTCTATGACAGCCTCTGTGCAGAGAGACCCAGACTAGCGTCTCTTGGGATTATGAAGTGCTTGGGAAGTGATGGATTTTACCCTTCTGAATATACTGAAAGTTATGAGCTTTCACCATAAAATTCACCTACAGAAATACACACGGAATTTCCATATAGCTTCTGAGGCTGATGACCCCACTTAGGAACCTAGGAAACCCAAGGTAAGCTCAGGGGACTAAGGTAACCTAACTGAGGCCACACCATTAGCTTTATGTGCTGGAAGAGCCCAACAAGACACAAAAAGGGATGAAACCATGCATGGGCCCATCAATAAAACCAAGACATAAAAGCTCTAGAAAAGAAAAGGAAGTGAAAGCAAGAAAGATTTACCTAAGAGATAGAAATCAGAGAAGAAAGGACTGAGGAGTCAGCATGTTTCACTTGGTCGGAAGCAAACCACACACAAATGAATTACAAAATTGAATTTCAAATGAGTGCCTGGTTTTTATGCACTCTGCTAAAAGAAGCACTCTGGACTGAAGTCAAAACAAATCCTATTGCTGCTCCACCATCAGTGACCAGAATTGAACTGGCAGGATAAAAATAAAAGCAATACTCCTATACCTATTTATCAATCACAATTCACCAGGTTCTCCAGATTTTAGTTTACTCTATCCTGCCAACAGAAGGGCCGGCCAGACAGCTCAATGGACTAAAGCACCTGCTTGGGCAAATGCTAGGACGAGAGTTCAACCTGGTGCTGTCACCTCCACTGCCATGCCAGCTCCGCCCCCTCAGGCATGATGAGACCTTGACTAAGACTGGGCATGATGGTGCAAGACTGTAATCCCAGCGCTTGGGAGGCTGAAAGCAAGAGGATCACTATGAGTCTGATCTACATAGTGAGACCCTGTAGACCCTGTAGTAAACACATTAAAAAAAAAAAAAAAATTACACACACAAAAAATATAATCCTGCCAACAGTTCTACTACATTGAGGTCATGACTTTCACTCTACAAATGAAGGAAATAAGGCTCAGGAAGGACTAGAGTTGGCCCAGGGTCCCACACCAAGCAAAGCCTGTCCTCTCAGATCCCAACAACAGTGGCAGATCCAGCCCTCCCCAGCCCCACCTAGCCTGGCTTGCCCCTCCCCCACTCCCACCAGTCCCTCCTCTGTGGAGTGTGCCAGTAGGAGGAGGGATGGGGCATGGCAGAAAGGAAGAGGCCCACCTTGTTGACGTCCTTGAGCTCTTCCTCCTGCTCCATACGCAGCTTGCTGGCTCTCTGCAAGAGGTTCTGGGCCCGCTCCTTGGCTTCCTCCTCCAGGTCTGTGAGCTTCTTGTTGTTCTTGCGAGCCATTTCCTTCTGTTTCATGATCTTCTTGCGTATGGTCACCGCATCCTAAGGGAGGGCAACCTGGATCAGTGGGCTCTGGGTCCTGGGCACTGGCCTGCTTCCCAGGTGACCCACAATGATTCAGCCTCAGCCCCTGAGGTTTCCCAGCCCAGCTTCATCCTCACCCTCCCAAGAAGTCCCCCCATCTCAGGTATTACTTTTCAGTTTTCACTGTGCAACATTTCTTCGTTAGCTGCACATTCACACTTTGCTTCAGAATCCCCTAACGAGGAGGAGTCCCCACTGTCACAAGAAAGTGACCGCCCCCAGAGCATTTCTAGCCTGCTGCCCCTTTGCAGTGTCAGGGCTTAGGGATGGTAGCTACCACAATGGCTTCCTTCTCCTTCTTGAAGGCCTGCTCGTGGGCCTCCAGCTCTTCCCTGGTCAGAACATGGGATGCCCTTTTGATCCGCTCAAACTCCTCAGAGCTGATGATTAGGGATTCCCCGGAGGGGTCTTCTGTGGGAACACTGACATGGGAAGAAACCGAATTAGAGAGAAGAGGGAATCCTGGGCCCCTTGCCGGGATTCCCCACAGCATGCCAACCACCCTGTTGACCCAGCCTGGGAAGAGAGGCTGTAACTGCATGGGGGTTGCTGGGAGCCCAGTGAAAATCAAGTAACACTGCAGACTGAAGAGAGACACTTGCTGGGTGTGAAAGCACATGCCTGTAATCCCAGTACTTGGGAGGCTGAGGCAGGAGGAGCACTGTGAGTTTTAGACCAGGATAAGGCACATAGTGAGGTCAAGACCAGCCTGACCTACATAACGAGACCCTGTCTCAAAAAAAAAAAAAAAAGAATGATAACACCTTAAAAAAGAGAGGTATTTTAGTTGGGGGTGTGCATGCGTGGCTCAAAAACTTTATAAAAAGTGGTGGGGCTGTAACTCTGTATGAAGGCCCTGGCTTCAATCCCTTTATTCAAAAACAACACAGGAGAGAAAGCAAATTCTTGTTCTCTAATGTCCAGCTCATATGCTCCCTTGTCTGCACCGCTGTCTCTGACCCTGCCCTGTGCTCCTAGAACCGCCCTGCCACCAGGCCCACACATCGTTCTGCCTCTGACCCCACCACACTCTGCTCCTACTGCCTGCATCGCGGCTGACAAAGGCGAGCCTCTGCTGCTGCCTTCGCGAGCTCCTTTCACTGCACAGTCTCTGGCATGATGCTTCACACTGCCTGAGCCCTCCAAGCAAAGCTGTTGAATCGAACTTTAAAAATAGAATATTCCCGATGACGTAAAGGGGGAGGGGGCAAGAGGACGCTGGACAAGACTGAAATGGATGCTAGTGAGAAATCTAAACTTCCCTGTCTGTCCAGCTAGAGAGAAGCTTTGAACCCTAAATACTAATTAAAATCTCTGATCAACAATTGCTGGAGACATGTCCGTAGACCTCTCCTGGTAGCTGCCCAACGCATTCAACAAATCTATAGGTAATTATAATGATTACAAACAACTGACATACATTAAAGATGGGGGAGGGAGCTGCCCGGGTGGGAATAAAGCTGCTTGTGGGTGAGGCAGCTTAACAGGTGCACAGCAATCAGACGCAGACGGTCAGAGACAGGAAGTGAAACCTCATCTAATAAAACTAGTGTGTGGTGGGGGCGGGGCTGCCCATGAGGTAGACAGCCCCAGTGAGTGGACTTGGGCCTCCGCCAGGAAAGCTGCGGTTTACCGCGTGAGGTGGCATGAAACAGCCTGGGATATGGAGTAACCTGAGGAGAGGAGATCTGAATCTAACACACCAGATCTGAAAAACGACCAGCCATTGGGTCCAAAGCATCTGCACAAGGAGCCTGCTCCAAGAGGGAGCCCATTCTCCGGCCTCAACCCTGGCTGCAGGGCTGCTGACCGCTGGGCTCAACGGGAAGCTGCGGCCAATCCCAGCTCCTGCCAAGTGTGTGTGTGTGTGTGTGTGTGTGTGTGTGGACGCGCGCTCGCGCCAGTCAGCTCCTCAGCTCAGGCCACAGGCAGCATTTTCTGGGGAATCTGCATTTTTAGCTGATGGAGTGAGAGTGGAAAGAACTGTGACAGGAAGGGGAGTGCTAATGTAAGAGTAAGCCCCCAAGCAGTCTGGGCTTCTGTGCACCTTGCTGAGCTCAGCCTCAAGCCCCACAGGGGTCCATGCAGTCAGGAGACAGCTGAGCTAGAAGCCCCTGTGCATTTCCTCTGACAGCCTCAGACTCTAGAGCCAGTTAGGTACCTGGTCAGCTCCCCTTTGCTTGGGATTCTTGATGGAGACAAAAGGAAGGGACCCATCAGGATGGCTTCCCTTTGCCAGCCACACCAAGAGGAGTTCAGCCAGGACCTCCTGAGTGCTCCCCTCCTCCAGGCCTTCAGATCTCACAGGCAGCCAGAAAATGGGGAGGAGAAAGAAGCCCAAAGTGAAGGGCAAGGGCAACAACACAGACAACAAAGGGAGAAGTGAGAGAGGCCAGGATGCATGAGAATGAACCATGAAACCCAAGGGTGGGGGGCAACAAGGGAAGGAATAGCAGCAACCCACAGGATGGAAGCAGACAAGCTACCCAGCTTCCTTTGAACTCCTCAGAGGCAGTGCAGGCTGAGGGAGGGAGGGAAGCCTGGGCCTGCACCCCGGCAGACTCACATGAGCTCTCGCACCATGTCCCTGGTGATGAGCTGGATGGTCTCTGGCTTATGGTCCAGGCCCAGGGCAGAGAGAGTCTTCCGGATGGTGTGCTTGTCCTGCAGCAGCACAATGGGGCTGTCACTCTGGCCCGACGCTGGGGGCTACGAGGTAGAAGGGACAGCTTAGAGTCAGTCATCCAATCCTCGCTGGTCAGTGTTAACACTGAGTGTAGCCTTCCCTCCCTGGTCTTATGCCCCACACAGCAAAGGGAAGGCTGGCGAAGCACAGCATGCAGGATGACCGCGGGCAGCCAGTGCTGGGAAAGGCACTGGGTCGCTCTGTTGGAACACGGCTGCAGGTGCTCTGTCCTGACCCACTCTTCTGAGAACAAAGCCTCTTATTCTCCTTGCAGGATGGCAGAGACAGTTGTCCAGGCACATGAGGAGAGGGGCTGCCAGTATGTGTCTCACCCCACTTTAAGAAATCCTAAGGAATGAGAAGTAGATCTCTGGCTTCCAGGTCCTCGTCTCTCCATGAAGGTTTCTCCTTTCTCAAAGGATGACTAATTATCTCCCTAGGACCACACTGTAGTTTTGCAGCAATACAACTTGTTAATATACTCTATGATATTGTAGTTTTGTTACCAAGGATAAATTTTAAAAGCCATATTGAGGGAGTTAGATATAGCTAAATGACCTCCAGGCAATCTGTCCTTAAAAGCCAACATCCAGCCTTGCCTACCTGCCAGCTTCCCTTGACCCTCTGTCCCCTGAGTGCTGCTGCCACCTGCTGCCCATCTCTGCCTTCAGGCAGCCACCACTGAGCCACACCACAGGCCACTTCTGCCCCCTACTGCCAGTTGAAGAACTTCCAGACTTGGCCACAGAAGCACTTTGCTGATGCCCTTCTGTTGGCCTCCTGGCACGCCCGCCCCCCACCCCCAGCCCCAGACCTCCCTTCACTTGGATTAGAAAATTTCATGTGGGCCCCACCTCCCAAAAACGTGTCTGTAAATGAAACCACATTCATTTGATTTTCCTCTTTCCAGACAGAAAAACATCTGGATGAGAATCTTCTAAACAGCAAAAGGTGCCTATCTTTAACCCCCTAGAAAATGCTCTTCCAATCACAAAGAGGATGGTGGTGAGCAGGAATAGACATCAGACCCTCTGCCCTTCAACCTACCTGCTGCCAGGTGTGGGTCCCCATGCCACCACTGCATCTTTCTTCCATTTTTGTTTTGTTTTGGGAGGTATCAAGGATCAAACTCAGGACCTTGCGCTTGCCAGGCAAGCACTTATTCTACTGAGCTATCTATCCGGCCCCACTTCCTTTCTTTTCTCATCCTTGCTTCTTCACTGCCCAGCTCTCCATGCCTTATTTCTTTTCTTCCTCACCTCCCAAACTTCCTGTTTACCCAAATTTTTCAAAGCAACTCTCCAGTTCTCTATGACTATTACACTATCATCTATATATCCAGCAACAGATGAATGGTTAAAGAAAATACAGGAGGGGCTGGGGAGATGGCTCAGTAGAATAAGTGCTTCCCTGGCAAGCGCAAGGGTCTGAGTTCAATCCCCGGTTCTGAAAAAAAAGGGGGGGGGCTAGTGAGATGGCTCAGTGGTCTAAAGCACCTACTTAGAACAAGCTTGGCAAAGCACAGGGACTGAGGTTCAATCCCCCAGCACCACATGCCAGCCAGCCCCGCCCCCTGGTGGGCTGAGCTGACCACACACACACACACACACACACACACACACACACACACTAAATAAATGTTAAAAAGAAAAAAGAAAATACAGGATTTATGCACAATTTGTAGAAAAATGCATGCACCTTGAGATCGTAATGTTGCCTGAAATAAATTGTGCACACGTGCATAAAGAGTGCATGATTCCTCCTATATAAGAAACCAAAAGAGGCCGGGGAGATGGCTCAGTAGGATAAGGGCTTGGCTGACAAACGCAAGGATCTGAGTTCAATCCCCGGTTCCGCCAAAAAAAAAAAAAAGAAACCAAAAGAATAAATCAATTGAAGAGCAAAACACGAATAGATACTAGGAAGCAAGGAGATCTTTCACAGATGGAGAGAGAACCGAGAGATAGGAGGAGGGAGAAAGGAGGAAAGAGAGAGGGATATAAAAAATAGAGATGTGGGGCTGGTGAGATGGCTCGGTGGTCTAGGGCACCTACTTAGAACAAGCTTAGCAGAGCACAGGGACCACGGTTCCGTCCCCAGCGCCGCATGCCGGCCGGCCCCGCCCCCTGGTGGGCTGTGAGCTGGCCACACACACACACACACACACACACACACACATAAATGGATTAAAAAAAATAGAGATGTTATGTGCTTTCGCCAACCCCCTGCAACAAATGCAATCATTATGTACGGCAAACATAGACTAATAAAAAATTTTAAACAATTTTCAAAGGAGTTGTCAGCCTCTTAGTCTGGATGAGTCCTGAAAACAAAGGCCTACTTGTTTCCCAAACCTAAATCAGTGTTTCAGTTGAGCTAGTGGGACAGGAGGTCATCTGAGCGCTGGTGGTGGCTGTGTCTGCCAGCTGGGCCTGCCGGCCCTCAGACGCTTTCATCCCTGGCTTCCCCTGAGCTCCCTTCAACCTTCTACCAGAGTTAAAATGCTGTGAAGACTGCGGACTTCAAAGGAACAGGAATCCATGTGCCCCATTCGCCCTGGCCAGAGGCTTCAGACTGCCCCCTTTATCTCCACCTGAGCCTTGACCTGCAAGAGTGAGCACAGTCACCAGGCCAGCACAGTGCTGTCCTGAGCTACAGTGGCCTGGGCTCTGCCTCCAGATGAGCGATGCCTGGAGGGGCTTACTAAGGATTACCTTGACACCTCCAAAGAGGCTCTCGTCCACCTCAGAGTACATGGCTTTGGTCCGATAGCGAGCTCTAGTTCGTGATCTGTTGAAAGCAGTAGAAGAGGCACTTGGGATGCCATTTGTGCTCAGCGGCTGCAGGAAGAGGCAGGAAGTCACTATCAGCACACAGGTTATCAGCACAGAATAGCATCCAGACCCCAGCAAACACCTCTCCAGCCCTTGATGGGGCCAGGCAGGTAGCTGGGCAGGTGGGAAAACCACCTAGGGCGACACCTGTGTGAGCCCTGAAATACAGGGACAAAGAGCAAAAGGGGGCAGCATTTTTACAGAAGCAGGGCAGGTCCTTGGCAGGGGTGAAGCATATAAACTCTGCAACGAGAACCACTTCTGTAGTCCTACAAGCTGAGGAAGGCCAAGCTGGTCACTCCATACAGAAGGAAGAACAAGAAAATGGGAAAATGGGAAGGACACGGGGAAAAGAGCAACGACACTTCACCTCCCAGGAATGTACGCCATTGTCCTTGCCCTCAGTCTCCTCAGCCTGAGCTCCGGACCCCTTCACAATGACATACTACTTGACCTCTTTCAGGTCTTGCAGTCTCACAAGGAGATAATGGGACCAGATGATAGAAAGCATACAGAAGCGCCTTGCCCACTGTTTGGCACATGGTCAAGACCTAGTAAACTGCAGGCCAGGAATGATTAACAGCTACAATCACAAACACAATTCACAAGTTCCTAAAAGCCGCTATGTGACTGTTTTTCCCAGCACTCCCGAAGAGTGCACTAGCCACCCCATCCCCAGAAACAGTCAATGGTTGGCAAATTCCCCCACTTAATTGTTGTAGGTTGCAGGGCGCATTTTCAGTAACCAAAGCTGAAAATACCAGGTACTTGCCTTCCCACTGGGCCTGGAACGCAGCCTGAGCCAACACACTTACCCCAACCAACCATGTGCAGTTGCCTTCTTTGTTTTTGGTCTTTTTTGATTTTACTGTATTTTTTTGGTTGAATTGTTTTTTAGGGGAAGTTTATTTTTTTGTTTTTGGTGCCGAGGGCCGAACCCAGGGCTTCCAGCTTGCTAAGCAAGCATTCTACCACTGAGCCAAATCCCCAGCCCCTCAATCTGACAATGACTAGAGAACTAGCACTGCAAAAGTCAGAACAAGGAAAAAAAAAAAACAACAACAACAGAACAAGAAAAGCCTTGGTGCTCCAGCCAGCCTCTGGGCAAGAGAGGTAAGATGCACCACACAGTACCCTGCATCTGAAGCTGGCGGTTTTGAGGGACAGCCTCAAAGAGCCTGACCAGATCCATTCTTGGTTCTGCCTCTGGCCTTGTTTCCACCGGCAGAGCCTCCCTTTGTTCTTATGCCCCAAGCCTAGTTCGTGCAAAATCTTCTCAAAACTCCCCTCAATGTATTCCCTTCTACAAATTCAAGTCTGATTCTGCTGTTTATAACCAAGAAGACAAGTAATACACCCTCCATTCCCACAGGTCAGTCCAACTTCAGTTCAGCCCCAAGAGTGGAAAGTCTATCCCCAGGAAGCAGTTGCTACAAAGACTTTTGGACAACTCCAGGCTTACTGTAAAACTGATTCAAACCGCACTTTGCAAGCATCCGCCCCACCGTGCCCAGGGCTGGAAGCTGGGCTACCTTGGAGGAACGGGCTGGGCACATGGCATCCCTCAGTGCCTGGGAATCAACAGCCTTCAAGGGAAAAGGTAAACGGAAATGGACTGTGCATTTCAGGTCACTGAGCACCGGCCAGTGTTTTGAAAGCTCTCTCCGATCTGCCATTACCAACCAGACCCCCGGAGCACCTGTTCCACCTGCACCAGGTTTTCACACTAAATTGGACAATTATCCTCCGGCTGGCCGTGTTCTGAACAATGAGCACTGCTGCGCGTGCCTCTCCCTTGCCAACAAAAGGCTTACAAGAGGAAGCCTCCCTTTACATCCTCAGTCAGCCCCAATACAGCAAAGCAGAAAAGCTTGGATTTATTAAAAGGTAAATATAGCAGCTCCAAGGATGCCTAATAACAGCCTCTGAAGGGTTATTATATGGTGGGTGCTGAGCAACTACTCCTCTTTCTACCAAAAATAGAGTAAGAGGAAATGAACAAAAACTGCAGTAGGTGGAACTGCTTCTAAACACTGGGAAAAACTGGAAAATATGGGAGCCTTTGGACCATGAGGGACGGTATGAGTTCTATGTATGATAATAATTTCAAAAAGGCTCAGCCGCTGGCACATAGTGGCATCTGATGAAGAACAAGGAGAGAGACTGGGCAAGATCACCACTCAAGAACTACAAGCCTGGTGGAGGCGGCTGCCTTCTGGGGACCCAGCTGCCTGACTCCACATCACTCCACCATTCCACATTTTCCAGCTCACGTATATGGCCCGCAATGTGGATAATAATGCATGGTAAAGGGCCTGGGAGTACAGATGGAAAATATTATTACTGTTTTGCATTTGTTTTCCTCTTTCTCTTCAGGGGCTCCTATAGGTTTCCCCTCGTGTGCGGTGTCTGTCGCACTGCAGGCTCCTGGGGCGGAAGCTGCATCTTCTCCTCCCGTGCCCTTAGTCCCCAGGTCAGGAGGCATTCACCACAGGAAATAATCAACTGCCTGAGCCTCAGCGTCAGAAGAGAGGAAGGAAAAGAGATGACCACAGACAACTGGCCGCTGGGCAGGACGGAGGGAAGCTCTGAGCTCTAGGGTTGGGTGTCTGAGAAACCTCATTTGGGAACTGCTGACTTTGAAGCCACAAGCCTTACCCGAGGGTTAGAATGCCCACTTCTGCCAAGAGTAACAAAAAGGATTAGGGAGGTCACTGTGTAGATGTACTAGGAAAAAAAAAAAAAATGAAGCACCAAGTGGTAATGGAAAGTTGGAACCTTCTGGACCAGAAGCAATAGCCAAGTGGCTCTTTTAAGAGGTGGTTTTATTTCTTCCATTACCAAATAAATATTGCCAAGAAGCTGAGCGTTGGCCACAGAGAAGCTCGCCCAATCCTGCTTAGGGAGAGGTAGCTCTGCCTACTTCCCCATGACTGAGGAGGCAAGGGGGGCTGACACATCCCAGTCTTGCTTTGGTATACTCATCAAATGTCAAACTAAGCCAATGCTGACTAAACCAATACCCCCCCACACACACACATACACACCACATAGCTCTGGTAATTGGACCCAGGACCGTGTGCACACTAGGCAATTGCTCCGCTGCTGAGCTATACCCCCAGCTCTTGCCCCTTGCTTCATAAACCATCTCATCCCAGAAGCACAAGAATCTGACCAGAGCTGGAGGCTGTAAGAGAAACTCCAACCCAGACAGGTTAGCTGGTCACATGCATGAAGATACTGACTTCAGAGAAAATATATTCTAAACTGGGTATGGCTGCCTACACCTTGCACCCCAGCACTCCAGGCTGAGCCAGAAGGGTCACAAGTTTGAACCTAGCCTGGGCAACTCAGTAAATCAGCAAGACTCTGTCTCAAAATAAAAAACAAAGGGCTCAGAAATTTGGCTCAGTGCAAAGACCCTGGTTTCCATCCCCAGTCATGCAAAAGAAAAAAAAAGAGGAATAAAAGAAATAAAGTACATTCTAAGAAAGATACATGCGTGCCTGTGAAAATGTCTGTGGAATGGAGTGGACCTCCACAAAGCCACTTAACGGTCATGTTAGGCAGCTTCACCATCTTCAGGTGCTTCTTACTTTGAGCCATTTTCTGCCAGGGGTAACTTTATAACCAGGAAGAATCATAAAAATTATTTCTAGTTGAAAACAGACCAATACAGTGGGCCTGCAAGAGTGCAGCTCATGAAAACCGCAGCATTGTATATGCCGGGATGTTTACCTGAAACCCAGCAAGACAAAGCTGAAGCAGGACTGGAATAGACAAGCGTGGAATTTCCCTGACGTAACTGCAACACCTGTCAACTGAACAAAAACAAAGGCATGACCTTTCCTCGATGTCCTCTCCGCCCCGAATCTGGTTCCTCCTTTGTGTATAGAATCACTGTAAGCTGGTAAGTGCAGGCTTCAAACTCTTTGCCTGATTCTATTTCTTTTTCTGGATACTTCAGTTACTGAGAAGAGGCTGACCATGTACCCGGCCCCTTGCCTTTTTGCTCTGAGGGAGACATCACTCTCTTGCTTCAAATGGTCCAGCTGCCATCTGAGGGATGCCACCAAATCTGACACCCTAAGTAGTTCTAGGTCCCTGTCCCTCCTTCTGTTATTAGTCATTATTTTTGTAAGAGTCCTACAAGCCTGCCTAATTGTGAGCCTTACCACCTTACAAGGCAGTGAGTAGCACTAATATGCACACATGCGAGCACACACACACACACACACACACACAGCCCACCAGTGATCACTGGGACCCACTGCTTCTCCAAAGCAGTCATATACCCAATTTTGTCCAACAGACTTCACAAGGGCTCAGTCAGATGCCCCAATCCCTGCTCTGAATGGCCTCTGGGGTGGGGAATACCTGACCTGGGTGATCTATGGCCTCAAAGTCTAATTTAATCGCAACTTATTGACTCACGAGCACTTTAGAAATAGAAAACTTTAAAACAGGAGAAAAGGGTAGCTGATGGTTACCATATGCCCTTAGATGTCAGGTGTGAGACAAGACCCTCACGTTCTTGAACACAACACTCTGCTGAAGGGAAAGTAGGTGCAGAGTCAAATAAAATGCACAACCACAAATGCGGACCCTACTGGTACACTTCAGGGAGTTCTTAAAAGTTGGGAACTGCTCTTTGTTGGACAAGTATTTCTTAACTAACCAAAGTTAATCAGAAAGTCATTAAGCCCTAGAAAAGCAATACAACCTCTGAGCCCGATATGTGTCCACAGGTACACTCAAAAGCCAGCTTTGCCACCTGGTTTGCTGACATGCTACAGTTAATTCCTACAACCACAGGCTCCAGCATCTCTCCCCTTAACCACGCCATCCCTCCAGGGCCCGGTGCACCCAGTCCAGGTGAACCCTCAGGAGTCTTCCCCGCTTGGCCTTCTCTAACTTCACAGTCCCTATGAGCCTCCCCTACCCAGGGAACCCCAGGCCTGCCAGCCCTGTACCAGTCTCTCTCCAGAGCCTTGCAAACCTGGGATGCACCTCATTCATACATTTAGGAATTCATTCTTTCACAATTGTTTGTTGTATACCCACCCACCAAGTGACCCAAAGTCCTGGGAACAGAGACACAAACCGGAGGCTTGGGGATATTAAATGATGGTGCCATGGTCACCGCTAATTAACACCCATGACCCGACCTCTTCACCAGGGTTCAACACATCGCATCCTGCACTCCCATCAACAGAGGCCCAGGGGCCGGGGAGTTAGCTCAGTAGATTAAGCGCTTGCCTGGCAAGTGCAAGAGCTTGAGTTCAATCCCCGGTTCTGCCAAAAACAAACAAAAAAAAAAACAAAAAACAAAAAACAGAGGCCCAGATGGATGGGGTGGGAGACTCTGGGGTGGGAGACTCTGGGATGTGTCTCTCTCTGCCTCACCCTATACTGTCAATCCCTACAGGACTCCACTGCTAATTCCTCTTTTACGTTCCCCTTTAAACCTCCTTTGCTTCTTCTAGGGTTGTCATGCCCATCACAGGTCTTCCCGACCTCAGATGCAACTTTTGCCCTCCCTCAACCCCCATTTCACCCCTCAGAAACCCGCCCCAGTTCGCGACACTGAGTGAGAGCTGCCCGGAGCCTCACCATCTCTTGGCCTGGGTCACCTGCACAACCGCAAGGCCCGGGATGTTGACGCGCTGCCATAGCAACCACAGCCTCGGTTTCCGGCCTGGCCCCGCCCCTCCCAGATCTCGCGGGCTGTGTCGGGACTGATCTTTAGGTCGGTGCAGCCAGCTCTCCCGCGTAGCTTGGGGCTCCAACGAGAAGCCCGGAGCCGAAGTCTGCGACCAACTCACCCCGCTGCTCTTCACAAACTTCCAACTTCTGAGTCAGGATCCAAACCCTAAAGGGTTACCTTGAGCTCAAAGGGACCTTATTGCCTGGGGCCCCAAAATCCAGGCCCAGGATCACAGTTTTTCCCCAAACATTGCCTCTACCCTCGATTACTATGGTTACTGATGCCCCAGGACTCAGGAGGAGCCAGGCCAAAACCAGGAGTATTCAGTTGCAAAGAAGCACGCAGCGTCAAAACAAATTTCACAACTGGAGGCAATCTGGTTAGACCTGAGAAAACTCCCCCGCCTGAGGATATATATCCAGTTTCAGAAACAGTTCCTTGAAGGTGGCCTAGAACTGCCTGCTCTGAGCTCTGGGAAAGCCTATTATACCACAAGCTGAAATTAAAACAAAAGGAAAGTAAAAGACCCTACCTTAGACTAAAATCGGTATCTGTAGATCTGGCTTTGGGGAACTTGCCTCTTAACACTTACTAGTTTTGTGTGTTTCTAGATGCTTTTCCTAGTTTAGTGGGGTTCTTGTACCTCCTAACCTGCAAAAACAGGACTGAGCCAGCCTGGACAGTCTGTTTACTCTTAGCCCCACAAAGCAGCTCTTCGTTGAACTGAAGGTTCTTCTTACAGTGTTGACCGGCTGAGCTCTCCTGGACTCTTGTGTCTGTGAAATACCTCCCACTTCCCAGCCTTTCTCCAAACCCTAAGAGCTCTCTCCCTGTACACTACAGTGGAGACTGACCCCAGGGCCTGGCTGGGAAAGCTGCCTGACACTGGGCTACTTTCCTAGGCAAGAGCAGCCTCTGAATGTTAGTCCAATTTAAGCACTGAGGGCTGCTAACCTGGGGGTGGTAGAGGTAGAGGAAGTGAGGCAACTGCTCCTGAAGAACTTGCTTCAGCAGGCTCCATGCTCCTTCCCCGGGCATTCCCAGGCCTTATCTCCTGTCCTGCTTGTACTTCCTGCCCTGGAGAGCCCCTCCTTAGGACAGACAGGGAGGGATGGGAGTGCAGTCTCTGTGTGGATGTGGAGTGAGGGCAGAGTGCTTCCATTCCTGGGCCTTTCTTTTCTTGGCCTTGCCACTCCTGGCCTCTTCCCTGCGGCCCAGAGCACAGGGAAGATCTGTAGTCACTCGGTGTGGACCAGACACGTCTCAAAGGCGTTTTCCTAGTTCCCAGCCATAGTCTGAAGTAGCTCATCCCAATGCTAGATAGGACACTGAAGCCAGAGAGAGAAGTGTCCAGACGGAGAGGCTCTACACAACACTGTCTGTGCCTGCCTCCAGGCCTCCTGCCCCAAGAAGCCTCTCTCAGACTCTTGGCAGGGCCCTGAGCAATATGAGTTCTGTAGTCATGTGTTTATGTAACTTTGCAAAAGCAAGTTGATTTAGGGGAACATTTATTTTGAATTTAGCAAAACATGTTGGTATGGTTTCTATCACTCGCACATGTGGTTAAGTCACTGCCTGCTGTCCTGGTGCATGAAAGTCTTCCAGGAGGACCCCTTCCCCTAGTCTACTGTGTCACGTCACTGTGTGTCTGTCCAGGGAGCAGGTCACTGGCCCTGTTCATCCTTTGACTATGTGCTACCATGCCCACCCACAAAGGGATCTGCCAAGGTGTGAAATGCACAAAGCCAGAGGCCAGTCTGTGAAAAAAATTCTTCTCACCACCAGTGGTGTAAGATTGTGAGGATTCTGTTCTTACCAGTGCCTAGTCAAAGCTGACGTTCTCTCTGTCCAAGAGACTTGGCAAAGCAAGCCATACAGTTACACACCTCATCAGAGAAGCTCCTGCTTCAAGAGTGCACCTGGAGACTGCTTCCGTTTTGCCAACACTGCAGTGTTTGCTCTCTGCATGCCTGTCCTGGATTTAGTAGCTTAAACATACATGCCTCCCTCCTTGAGTTTTTCTAAATATAATGAGACGGGTTTTCCATTTGAAAAGTATTCAGATTTTATGTACTAGTTTCCTGCTGCTGCCTCAACAAATTTTTGCAGACCCAGGAGCTTCAAACAGTACCAATTTAGTAGAGTTCTAGAGTTTCACGCAGGTCTCACTGAAATCAAGGTGTCAGCAGGGCATGTTCCTCCTCTTCTGAAAGTGTCACATTCCTTGGCTAATGTCAGGCCCCCTTCTGTCCCCTCTGATGGTAGCATGAGTGCCTGTCTCTGACCCTTCTGCAGCGTCACATTTCCCTCTGCTTTGAAAGGTTCTCCGATCTGGGCTCCCGTAATTAAACTCACACCACATGGATAATCCAAGATCATCTCCCTGTCTCAGTATCCTTAACTTAATCATATCTGCAAAGTCTCTTTCTTCATGGAAGGAAAACATTCACAAATTATGGGTATAAGTTGTGGACGTCTGTGCATGGGCATGTTCTGCTGTTATGGCTCAGATATGCTCTGTTCCCCAAGCTTCACATGTTGAGGTCTCGATCTCTAACATAGCAGTTCAGAGCCGTTGGGCTCTGGGGAAAAGTAATCAGCTCTTGAGAGCTCCAACTTCATCTGTGGATTGATCCTTTGATGAGGTCACAATTTGATGGCGTTAGTGGAAGGTAGTAGGAATGAGATGTACCCTAGCTGAAGGGGGGAAATAACGGGGGATGGCCTTGGGAACTCTATCTGGTCCCTGCCCCTCCCTCTCTGGCTCCTTCTCTCTTCTCTCTGCTGCCTGGCTGCCCTGAGATGAGCAGTTTTGCCATACCGTGCCCTTCTTTCACAATGCTCTGCTCTCTATAGGCCTAAAAATAAAGAAAGCCCACTATTCACAGACTGAAATCCCAAGCCAAAGTGAATCTTTGCTCCCTTTAAATTGTTTTCTCAGAGGGCCAGTCATATAGCTCAGTGGATTAAAGTGCCTGCGAGCAGGCGCAGGGGTCGGAGGTTCAATCCCCGGGCCTGCAATGCTGGTCCTGCCCCTGGATGCACTAAGACTGCGATTGAGACTGGGCATGGCAGCTCATACCTATAATCCCAGTGCTTGGGAGTCTGAAAACAAGAGAATCACTATGAGTTCTATCTATGTAGTGAGACCTTGTACCAAATACATTTTTAAAAATTTTTTTTCAAGAATACAAGTGAAATCTAATAAATTTCTTTTTTTGCTTTTTTTTCTAAATGTATCTAATGCAGGGTCTACAAGGGCCGGGCTGGCATGGCATGCCAGGGACCAAACCCCAGTCATTGTGCTTTGCCTAAGCAGGCAGCTCACTGAGCTATCTGGCCATTCCAAAATTTAATAGATATTTTTTTTTCTGTATTTTAGGGAAAGGTCTAGAGGGTGTTCAAGGTCTCACAACTAGGTTGGACTCTTAGTGATTCTCCCAGCCTCCCAAGAGCTGGGATTACAGGTACACGCCACCACACCCAGTCTCAATCATCTCAATTGTAGTCTCAGAGAGCCTCAGGGGCGAGGCCAACATGGCAAGTCAGCATTTTAATCTGCTGAGCTATTTGGCCAGCCCTCAAAATTTAATAGATTTCTAACTCAGACATATCAATAGTATATCTTTTTCCTTTTTCACTTCTTTTTTTTTTTTTTTTTTTTTTTTTTTTTCGGAGACAGGGTCTCGCTATGCAGTTGAGCTCACTTTGTAGGCCAGGCTGGTCTTGAACTCTCACAGAAATCCTCCTGCCTCAGCCTCCTGAGTGCTGAGATTACAGGCATGCACCACCATGTCCAGCTTATCTTTAAATATATGTATTTAAAAAATTGTCTTATCAATCCAAACTGGTAATGACAAGCTATGAAACCAGTAGACAATGACAATTTTCAAATTACACCAAAAAAGGTAATTCATAAGATAAACAGACAGATTTTGAGTAGAGTAAGTAGCCATTTAGATTGTTTGGTAACTCAATTAACAAGGTGGAGAAAATCACATGAACACATTGAAGAATATTAAATTTTTGTTGATTTAACATAAAACTTCAAAATTGATGGAGAGGGCTGGTGAGATGGCTCAGTGGTCTAAAGCACCTACTTACAACAAGCTAAGCTAAGCAAAGCACAGGGACCGCGATTCAATCCCCCAGCACCACATGCCAGCCAGCCCCGCCCCCTGGTGGGCTGAGCTAGCCACACACAGACACTAAATAAATAAATAAATAAATATTAAAAAAAAAAAGAAATTCTTTAAAAAAAAATTGATGGAGAGTACATGAAACATATTAATCCACTAAAATGAGGACTTCTGACAAACATGAATGAGTTGCATTGATTCAAAAAATTAATTACGGGGCTGGAGAGATGGCTCAGTGGTCTAAAGCACCTACTTGAAACAAGCTTGGCAAAGCACAGGGACCGCGGTTCGATCCCCAGCACCACATGCCAGCCAGACCCGCCCCCTGGTGGGCTGAGCTGGCCACACACACACACAATAAATAAATGTAATAAATAAAAATAAATAAATATTTAAAAAAAAAAGAAAAAAAAATTAATTAATGAACAATGCTGTAAAACCTTATAACTCATATAAGAAGAAAATTGAATGCAGATTTTCACAAATTTGACAAAAGCCATAAAAATTGACATGACTTTGCCCACATCACACTGTGAAGAGAAGCATTCTAGTCTGTCGATAACAATAAAAGTATCGATCAATCCACGTCCAAAGAAAGTCTAAATTCTCTTCATAGTGTATTAAAAGTGTCAGAAAAACCATTGTCATATGAAGAGACAAAATTATGCAACTAAAAAGGCAGGAGTAAAAAAATCAAAAACACAAGGGCTGGTGAAATAGCTCAGCGGACTAAGTGCCTGCCTAGGCACGTGCAGGTACCGGGGTTCAATCTTCGGTACTGCATGCTGTGCCAGCCCTATCCGAGGGTGTGCTGAGTTGGCACACACCTGTAATCCCAGCGCTTGGGAGGCTGAAAACCGTTGCATCACTACGAGTCCAAGCTATGGAGTAAGACCCTGCACCAAAAATACTTAAAATTAAAAAAAAAAAAAAAAAAAAAAACTTTGAGCACTCTGGGTAATTTATACAAATCTTGTGTTACTCGTCTAGACGTTGGGATGTTTATAGTTTTTGCCAGACTTCTTAAACTTTATAATTTATTGTGATTTCTTTTTTACTTTACATTCTTATTCTCCTAATCAATTCCTATTAGTAGTTTTGTGCTGCTTTTCACAAATGGAGTTTTCAAACTTCGTTAAGTTCCAGCCCTAATAAGCAGGGAGGCAACCCTTTTCCTTCTCAGGAAAACTTGACTCAAGAATGCAGCCACATCTAAGGGGGATAAGGGGAAAACGCCCCTCACCTCCTACCCTCCCAGAGACCCACCCCGCAGCTCCTCCCTTGCCACCCACACTTGTCCATCTTTTCTTCCTCCCATCTCTGCTGGTGCATAGTTGGAGTTCTTTGCCTGCTGCATGGATCCCCCAGCTGCCTTTTCCCTCTCTTCCTGGATTCTGTCTGTTTCATTCCCAGCCCAAAAAGCTAAGGGATGAGAACAATGGAGAGGGGCAGGAAGCTACAGGAAGCCACAGAGGTCAGTAGAGGGCAGGTCCAGATTCCAGCCCCACCTCCAGAGGCCTGCCCTTCCTACTGGGCACAACACCAACAGAAGTCTCAGAAGGAAGCCTGGATTGGCCGCCAGGGGCCGGGAGGCAGCAGAGGAGCTAGGTGCCGGGGAGCGGGAGCACAGCCCAGCAGTCTTGGGCTGGACTTGGCCCTGACACTGCTGCCCGGGCCCCTCTGGGCCTTGGAGCCTTCATGGGTCTGCCACTTCCCTGACCCCTGAGATATTCCCCCTACCGGCTGAGGTGGGAGACACAGGAAGTTTGACTCCATGATGAGTAAGCACATTGAAGGAGGAGGAGCCTGGGGACACGTGGAGGGAGCCTTGGTGGAGCGGAGCCTTGGTGGAGCAGAGCCCTTTGGGTTAGAAGGAAGTATCTGTCTTCTCACTTGAGCACCGAGGAAGTTTGCCATCCCCTTCCCCT